CGGGAAATGCGAGTGAGAGACAACGAATTGAGTGCCAATTAATGGAATAGGACACGAAGATAGTTTGAGTACTTACCGAGAGCTCATGCTGGTCTTGTTGGTCTTTCTGTCGAGGCAGAATAATTGTGCCCAGAGCTGGCTTTATATCTACAGATTGCGCGATTGTAATCCTACTTCAGAGCGTGCCTAGTTGGCGTCGGTGTTTCCCTTTACTCCACTGGGGCTGCTGCGATTGGACAGAGCGCATGTGCCCTCAAATCTTGAGCACAACCACCGCCATAAGGGCGCTTGATAATCTGATTTCTCCTGACCAACCGGCCAGGCCCGTCAACACAAAATGTTCTCCACCTGTTCCCCCAGCTCCTAAAATACTTCCACATTATCCACCTCCTCCGCCCTGTCCACCTCCTCCAAATCCACCAAAGCTTACCCTTATTTCTCCCAATTGTTCGCCTTAAAAATCTACTTCACCTCTTTCATTTCCTGCCCCATATTCCCCTCGTCTACCTTAGCTTTTACTTTTCTTATTTCTTCTTACTCCCTCCTCCTACTTCCCCATTTCCTCCTTCACTTCTCCCTTCTCTCCTCTTAGGCTTCTATCTTCTTCTTATTTCGGATGCTATTTGGAATGATGTAGGATGGTTGATAAAATTTGACATGTTCTAGCACTGTTGGCAGTAGAAAGGTAGTGAATGTGCAAATAAAGGCTTTTTTAGGAGAGATTTCAGATTTTCTTCTGTTATACTCGCTCCACACTCAGAATCAGACGTTCATGAAATGGTTGGTATGAAGAAGAAGGCTTAAAGAACGACTTTGTCCAATAATAGTAAAAGGCGACTCAACTACTCTGGGCTTTTCCCTTCATTAGCATGCTCTGAATACACTGAAGCCTACATTTTAAGCGCGCCAAATCTACTTTTTGCTGACTTGTAAGGTCATCGAAGACTTGATAAATAAATACTGGTAGTACGACTGCCATATATTCGTATCTAGATGCATTCCTCTTTTTCATACATACATACACATACAGATAAACATACACACACACATATATATAACACATGTTAAAATAGAACTGTATGGAATTTTGCTGAATGTGTGCGCAGTAATGAGACAGTTAGTTTCGTTAACTGAATATCAACCTAAGGCCTTCGTAGATATAGCATCAAGCACAAACGACTCCTTTCAACTGGGAAAGATTTTGCCTGTACAGCAGAAAGAGAACCTATGGAGGATTACGCCAGGCGAAATGTGCCGTCAAAATAAAACAACATCGAGCCAAAGAGAATCTTTCTTTCGTCGAAGA